ATTTGGTAAATCCCCGGACTGTAATACCAGGTATAACTTAGCTTAATATAATTCGGAATTTTTCGGAATTATTCTAGATTTCAATAGTATCACGTGATTCTGCTCTGTCCGTAGAATTCAAACATTGCGGCGATACTGGGGAAGATAAATGTAAGAAGTTGCGTATAAAATTAAGGGGGAATTTACGAATAAGGGCCCGGAAAGTTAAAAAATATTCCATATAAGGGCCCAAAATAACTACGACCTTATTCAAGCCTGTGACTTGATCATTATTAGCGTAAGAAAAAATATAAGCATCGATAAATGTAATTATTAAGCGCATTAAAAATAATGCAAATAAAAATTCTGTGACAGGTTTATGGCGCAGCAAAATTTCTTAAAAATCGTTAATATTAGGTTAGGGTCAGGGTCAGGAGTTAGAGGGGGGGGGTGGTATACATTGTAAAATCGCTCAGTGAAAACTTTTTGTTAGAGCACTAAAGGTGGTTTCTTATGCGAATTTTTGAGAAATGTTTTTCGGCAAAACGAACGTTTGTTTTGAATTTTCTGATCGTGTTACGTTACATTTGATTTCGAAATCTGATTCGTAGTTAAGGAAATCTGCGCCACAAACCTGTCCCAGATTTTTTATTTGCAAAAATAATTGCTTATTGTTATAACAAACCACTATGATGTCAAATAAAGCACTGTGAATTGGCATGACATTTACTAATATGAAAGATGTTCGTTCAGCTCTAGAGAGCTATTCTGTTGAAACTTCTCTGCCTTATAAATAATTGTGCTAGTTCAAGGCTTTTTTATACAATATTTAAGATAAAATGTTTATAACCATCGTTTCATTTATCATTTTATCTAATAATCAGTATATAGATGACTCTAAATGCCTATAATAAAACAATCGATAATCCTATTCGCAATCGTTACAAGTTGGTCATAGTATTTGTGGCGCAGTAATCCCGCGTCACGGTTTTTTCGGCCATTTGGGCCCATTATATGGAAATAACGCCCGTGGGCGTTATTTTGAAAATCGAGTCCTTCAAAAATAATATATATGTAGTCCCGAATTAGCGCCCATGGGCGTCTCAAATTAACGCGCATCCCCCCTTGTAGAGTGTCCAGAATTCTGCGGTGCATAAATCTGCTCGTTCTAAAAATATTTTTTTGTATTGTATTTGGTTTAAAAAATAATTCAAGTCACGTTTATCCTACGGAGACAATGCAAAAAATTATTTTTAGAGCGAGCAGATTTATGCACCGCAGAATTCTGGACACTCTACCCCCTTGTTCTTTATGTAAAAAATAAAAAAAAAAACAAAAAATGCTCCGGAACTAAGTTTAGTATTAATTAAACCTACTTTCGGGCTTTAATAAAAGTTCCTCTTCAGGTCAAGACGTAGGTTTATTTAGTACTAAACCAAGTTTCGGAGCACTTTTAAATCTTGCCATAAATAAGAAATTATTATTTATATGATAACATATGTTTAATTTGAAAATCATCCCTTATTTCGAAATCTCGCACATGGGCATACTCGAAATAACGCGCAGGTGGGCGTTATTTCGCGTTTATACGGTGATTTATTTTCACTTTCCGGGCCTTTATTTGTAAATTCCCCTAAAATTAACGTTAAAGCCATTTTCTTGTTTTTTTTTTTGTAAAAAATTGTTTTCGATTTGTCGTTACACTTGATGAAATTCAATTGGTCAAATTACAGGGGTAGGAACTTTACCGCTTATTTTTCGGCAGCCGAAAATAATTTCGGCATTTCGGCATTTCGGCATTTTGAAAATATCGGCATGCCATAACGATAATGCTGTAAATCCTTCTGAATTTATGCACCCATGTATAGGTCAACCCGTTCAGTGCACTAGGAATCAAAAAAGGAACATACCTTACTTAGAAGACAAATATACTTGCCGTCTATTGGAATGTATAAAACAGCCAACGATTTAAAAGAGAGGCACTCGGAACTTATCTTAGTAATAAACACTATCTATATAATTTTTATGTGTTTATTTATCGATTTATGAATTTTTTCTTGTAAGGTGGAAAATTTAATTTGATTGGCAAATTCTCACAAATTTCCATCTAGGACTAATGTCAATGCCAGCAGATCTTACTGGTTAAGGTATAGGAACTAGAGATGGTATCTGTCTCTATCAACAACCTTCCGAAAGAGATATCTAGATTTGGTACTAACCTCGGGATATTCTTCTATATGAATGCAAATGGAGTAAGGATCGCAGAGCACAGCTCTAACAGCTATTTTCCTCGGTAAGTCAAGTATTTTAGCAAAAGAGTGATTCCACCACTTTCTATAAGTATTGTCGGCAATTAGACCTAGTACTGAAGTGGAGTTTAAGGCGTAGTATGCAACTGGCTTGTCGATTTTGAGATAAATCGAAATGCACTCAGCCAGGTACAGCATTAAAGCCGGGTTAGCTTCTGAATCCCTCTTGTTGAATAGTTTAAGGATTGCAAACTTGTCACTTGTAGTGCGTTTTTGCGTGGTTCAACACGTCCTTGAGCATCTGCCTTTTAACGAATGTTGTGGGGAGTTCGAGAAGCTTTGGATCATGCAGTGTGGGGATCCTAGTCAGTTCATCTATCTGGTATTTGTAAAAATCGTCATTAATGTAGTTCTGCCTAGAGATCAGGAGAAGGTGATGCCCATATTGCTCTTCAATGAAGTAAATGTTGAAGGGAACTGTGCACTCGTATCTTTTTGTAGTTAACCACAAGAGAGTTTGTTCGTAATCCTGACAGTACCTGCCTGCTGAATGGCATTCAGGAATGTAATCGAACATGGTGGGCTTTTACCTGTTCGGGGAAGGGTCCTTGGAGAACAAATTGGATGGCAGTGAATAGTAGCGTAAAAATTGAGAAGATTTTTGTTATTGAAAACTCTCCCGATATCTCCAACGAGAAGTAAGAGAGTGCGTCGTGCATGATGGCGGTGCGGGTGTTAATTCGGTTGTCCTGAGTTAATGCGCTACGCATTTCGTTTCGATAGCGATGCCTGTCTTTGGCTGTGTAAACGTGATTGATGAGATGGAGGTTGGGCGCATTAGGTCCTAATATAGATTAACGGTTATGGTGTGACTATTGCACTTAGTTCGTAACCGACTAACGGCGGTTTAGTGTTGAATAGGGTTGTATGCGTCGGGTGCTTTTAGTTGAAATATTTGAATAAGACTTTTCGTATTGTTCCGTATACACCATATAATTGAAAATCATCTAACTTCAAATTAAACTCTAATTGGAAGTGGTTTAAAATCGAAACTATATATATATCAAGCAGATTAACATTTTTTTAAAAAGAATAACTTTCACCAATAAATTTCAAAGCTATTCTCATGATTTAATAGTCAAAGGAAGTTTAAGATCTAAGATTCTAATACATTCCATTTGCGAAAACCTTATCATTGTGAACGCCCAGAGGCGTTATTTCAAGTCACATAATTTAAAGAGTTAGGAATTATAGCTGAATGCGAGTAATAAATAAATTTCAAAAGTCTTCGTCCAAATTAATTATTAGCTCTCTTTAAATTGTGTGTCCCGAAATGACACCTCGGTGATGCGGTAAGATTAAATTTTTTTTGGTTACATTTTTAATCCCACTGTATATATTTACTGTAATTCAATAATTAGACAGTTATCATGGTGTATATGATAAAATTGATTTAAACATTGTATTTAAAAGTTTTAATAACCGTCAGCACAAGCGACGGGTACACACTAGTAAGAATTTAAACGTCAAGAAAAAATTATGAATATGGCAGAATAAGCATTTATCGCTCAAATTAATTTATTGTACTGTAAATTACCTTCAAGCATAGAATGCATAAAATGCAATAGTTATTTGTGTTGAAATTCTGATGATCCACCAGAATCAAGTTTTTTTTTTTGACCAAAATTTCTAAGTCTTAACAAAAATCTATCTCATGGAAATCGTTGTCTTAAAGCTCTAATTGCAGTGTTTTTTTTTTTGCCTATTCAATAGGGTACATAGTATTTCAGACTACGTTTAATAAAGCAATTAATCTAACTTTTTTGTCCAACTGTTACCACGAATAAGGCTTGCTACGTCTTGTATGAAAATACTTTCTTGCTGGTACCTAAATTCAAAAAAATATATTTGAACATGGTTAAGAACACATGTGTATTAAGAGCGAATATAATTCTATTATAACAAAAAATTAATAAAAGTATAGCCATAAGAAAGGATACGTAATACCGGCGACAATAATCGCGCAAAAACAACCGATTCCAGTATGTTTCATTTTTGCATCGATAGTCGCCCATCCAATATGTTCATTAGACCAAAAAGTCACAACCCAAGACAGAAAGAATGATATCAATACTAATGGCCGTGGCACAAGATTTGATAAAGATAGCATCCGCCGTAATTCTTTTATTTCATTTGGAGAACAATTGCGATTTTTTAAGAAATAATTTCGAATAAAATTCCAACTCCAAATAATACGTGTTGAAAGATTAAATGCATTAGCTGCGATCAATCCAAATGCACCAGCCACAAATACTTTCATGAAGATAACACCTGAACCCACAAACCCAGCAGAAAATGCTATTAACCAATAATTTAAGGTTCTCAGAGTCTCTTCAGTTGCAACTGCAGCCACGAATGCTTCTGTTATTCCATTAACACCCATAATCGGAACATACAAACAATAAGCAGATAATACTATTGGTGCAAGAGACTGAGACCAAACAGATCCCACAAGAAGATCAATCAATGTTCCAGTGTAATTCGTAGCAAAACAGATAAAAAGAAGTCCAAGAAGTATATGAAATTTTATTAGTGTTGTTAAAACTTTTAATGATGTAAATAATGCTGTTTTTTGTGTGTCTGTAATTTTTGCATCTTTTTTGTCAACATTAGTTAAAATTTTAGAAAATAATGTTCTGCCAGCTTCTTCAAGTGGTTGAAATAAAATACGGCAAATCAAAGAACCTAAATGAAAAGTAGACTTAATTATTTTCAATAAAGTGTATACAACAATCTTTGTTCATTCATACCATAATTTACTACAAAGGCATAAATTCCTTGATCCACTGGACTACTCAACCATGCAATCAACATTTTATCACCCTCGGTCAATATATGTTTTAATAATGATTGCTTTGTAAAAGTTTTTGCAAGGCTAAAAAGATGTGCATCTAACCAAAATTCTTTGTTTCTTTAGGAAATTTATAATGAATAAAGCCATTTAACAATGAATAAAAGTTAAATAATTATGAGAAATGAAAAGGAATAAGCATACTTATTATCATATAATTTTCGTGGCATCAACAAAGAAATATCCCATTTGAAAACAAAGTAACCAATATAACCAGTCATCATTATTAATGTAAAGACGAATTGAGCCACTGCAAAAGCCAAAATACCAAATGTATTTGAATATTTTTCATCATTTCCTTGTGCGCCTAAGAGAGTCAGTGCAAGAGTAATAATACAGCGAACTATCACGCCTATTCCTTCACAGCTCACACGAAGTTTGAAAATCAAGTTATTCATAGCAGCTATATAGAGTGGTTCAATTATAAGTTCACCAAAAGCTGATAAACCATATAAAACAACTGATGTTACATAATATGGAGTGTTCCAAGTGTCTTCAGTGGCATAATATAAGTAGAATGCACAAGCGAGGAATGTTGTAATCATTCCAATGGGAATGGGAATATAAGATAAATTTGTAATCTTTTGCACAGAACCCTTCTTAGAATCTGCTAATACTTTCGATTCTTTTGAAATATTATTACAGTCCACCACAATGGAGTCATCTTCGCCTCTCAACAAGGCACATCTAAATCCTTCACGAGATAAAAACAAAATAGTAGCTAATAATAATTCTAATTGAACTGATGCAATGCCGAATGTTGCCGGATCGGTATAACGCAGTACAATTTGGTGCAGACCAAAAGTTGCAAGTCTGCTTATAAGTTGGAGAATAACAAGAGAGGAAGCGCCAGACACCGATGATGATAAAATCCGAGAAATGTTTTTTGATGATTCCGATTGATCAGATCCTGCTGTAGCTCCAGTATTGTTTTCATCTTTTTGCGACGATGGTTTAACGGCTGTTTTACGTTTTATAGTTGACATGCTTATTTTCTTACGTGTATCACATTAAACCTGCAAAAAATTTTCAAAATAGCAAATTTATATTGTTAACTCTCATGTGATAAACTTATTAACATAACTATCTTTGGAAATAGGTTTGACATCATACTTGGGTACCTACCGTCTAGTAAAAAAATCCTTAATCGTGTAACAAGCTATTTGATATAGATATTATTCAACAAAACGTAATAATTTTGTCAATTCAAAATTTTAAACTCATTATTTGATATGTGTTTCGGATGTACCCGCACACTTTAGAATTCTATTGTTTATCTTTCCTATTCGTTGCCGTAAACTTTTTTGAATTAAATAGCCGAGTGCATAATCCAAGCAAAGATAAGGATTTTGAACTGTTGTTTTTAACACACATTTTGTGCGTGGTGTACTATGTAAATATCGATAGGTAAAAAAATTTTAAATAGATGCACAGCCCTAATGGTTTGATAGATTCGGATAAAATTTCGCAAAGGCCAATGCTACGTATCTACAAATAAAGCTATAGTGCCATTTCTTTAATTCCTTTATTTAAACACGAAAAAAAATTTTTCTTAAAGACAATAAGAATGGGCTTAGTTTGGTTTCTTTTTTTAAAAAAATGACTCTAGCATTGTTTGTAAGAACGTAATACTGGTCTTTGTAATTTTACCCAAAACTATCGTACTGTTAAGAATGTACATCTATTTAATTTTTGTACGTAGTAAGGCCGCAAATTGGTTTTCATAAGCCGGCCATCAAGGATTTTTAAAATTTTGAGTTTACTAATTTTCCCACACTTCTGATTGGTTCTACGTACTAATTATTCGCATATCGAAATATATACTATGTTATTAAGCAATTTTACGGTACTCCGATAGTGAAGTAAAATTACCGTATTTCTGCGACATGTGTACCCCCCTGTGGGCTGTACCCTGCGGCGATTTTGGATGCCAAATCTTGATTTATACCCGGGCATTTAATAGTATATTAAATACATACCCCCACACGAGTACTCGGGTACATAATATGAGCTAGGGAATACACCTGGTACACATGTCGCAGAAATACGGTAGTAAACCCAATCTAAAATTGGCTAAGTTAATCTATTAATAATCCTAGTTAAAGTTTAATATTATTTGTTTTCGAACTTTGGACGAAAATATCTCAATAACATTCCTCGTTAATTTAAATATTTAAGACTATTTTCGAATTTCATTAATCTGTAGAATTCAAAAATAGCCTTGAATACTGAAAATAAGCGGGATATTAGTATGATTCCTTCGTTCAAAATTTATTAGAAGATAGTTAAAAAATTAAAATTTTTATTGTTTGGTCAACCAACAAAAAGATCTAATATAATAATGGTTATTATGCTGGAAAATTGAACAGGAGAAACCGTCCAAATATAGATATGATTTTCATTCTCCGTTACACAGATCAGGCTCAAACATAGTTTGATGTGGTCGGATTTGTATTACCGGGTTTTTATTAAATTTGGTAAAATTGATTTTCAAAT